TTCTGAGAATTATCAGATTCTGGCTTAGAACTGATGCTAATTCTTGGAGACCCATGGCCAAGAAAGTAAATCAAAGTGTCGTAGGCTGTTAGACAGACAGGAGCAGAGCAAGGACAATGGGCCAGGTACAGACAGTCAGGAGAGTGGAAAAGCCCCAGATGCCTAGCATCAGGCAATCAGTAGTATGATAGCACCTCATCCTCAGGGTAACTTTTCCTTCCTTAGTAAGTTGCTGGTCAAGAGGCTTGGACCCCCTGACTTTTCTTCCCTAGAGGTAACATCTAGGCCTCAGTTGTATTTCAGCTCCAGACCCATTTAAGCAACAAAACTGACCATGGCTGACATCAGGACCAGCTGTATTGAATAATGACCACTTGCCCTGGTGCCTACCAATCAATCAATGGAGACCACAACCCTGAAAAGACACACCTGAAAAACTGTTGAATATTCTTTGGGAGGCAACATATATCATATTTGGGCATGCTGCCCTAACCCATTTACTGAGTAACCTGTAAGGCTGCCAGTTTTGAATGGGATCTGAAGCAAGAAAAGTTACTGCAGCAAATCTTGCTGCAGTGCATGCTGCCCTGTTACTTGGGCCTTAAGACTCTGCAGAACCAATGGTTTTGGAAGAGTCTATGAAGCCTAAACAGAAGCCTTTACAGCACAGACCCTTTGGGTGTTGGAGTAAGGCCATGGTTTCCTTGCTGGGAAAACTTTTCTCCATCTGATGGGCAATGCCTGGATTGCTACTAGGTCCTGGTAGTCACTAGGTCCTCAAGTCACAAGAGACTATATGACTTGAACTGCCCATCGTGAACTGGATATTATCTAATCCACTCAGTCATCAAAAGGCCATGTGCAGCAGCATTCCATTGTTAAATGGAAATTGTGTATGAAATCAGATCCCAGCAAAATGGAAAGGTAAAAGTAAAGTGAATGAGGAAGTGGCTCAGACTTTCATGGTACTTGCTCCTACTGCATCACTGCCTCTCCATCAGCCTACATGTAGGGCCTCAAGGAGACTTATTCAAGGGCAGGGGCAAGGATTTGGCTGGATAAAAAACGTGGAAAGAACAAGATAGGAGTTTGGTGATAAGGGAGCCTAAGAAGGACGTATATGCATAGGCCTCTTATAATGGGCCAGAGTGTAAAGATGTTGGTATTCCACATAATTGCCCCCAGAGGACATCCACTGTGAAGGAGGCTCTCAGTAATCAGATGAATAAGATCACCTATTCTGTTGATGTTAGCCTCTTTCTTTGGCTATCCTAGAGCTTGCTCAGTAGGCTAAATGTACAAAATGGCTGTGGCAGCTGGGATAGGTTGTATACATGTGGTCTTCCCTCACCAAAGCTAATCTATCTACCACCACTTTGAATTGGCAACCTGGTTATCAGCAGAAATCAAAGGCTGAGGCACCAGCATTGCACCATTCCCCCCAGGGGACCAGATAGACATTTGGTGGCAGATTGGTTACACTGAAACCATTCCATCATGGGGGAGGCACCGACTGTCTTTACAAGAACAGATGCATATTCTGAATACTGATTTGCTTTTTATGCCTGAAATGCCTCTGCCAGCACCACCATGTGGACTCACAGAATGCCTGATTCATCACCATGGTATCCCACCCAACACTGCTTCCAACAAAAAATATCAGTTGAGCCTGAAGGAAGTGCAGCGATGGGCTCATCTCCACGTAATTTATTGGTCTTATCTTGTATCCCATCACTCAGAAACATTTGGCTTGATACAATGGTGCAATTTCTTGCTGAAGGCTCAGCTATGGCAGTACAGCCTGAAAGTTTGTGGTACTGTCCTGCAGAACCTAGTATATGCTTTCAACCAGTAGGCAATAATATAGGGTGTCCCAAAAATGTATACACACACTTTGAATAGTTATAGAAGTAGTGTTTTTAAAAATACATTTAATTTTCAAAATTGAGCTATCAGCTGTTAAAGTGTGTATACATTTTTTGGGGACACTATGTATTTTCTCCCTTGTAGCAAAAATGTATGGGTCCAGGATTCAAGAGATAGAAGAAGTGAGGCCCTGGCCAGCATGGCTAAGTGGTTCAGGTGTCAGACTGCACACCAGAGGGTCTCAGGTTTGATTCCCTGTCAAGGGCATGACTTAGGTTGTAGGTTTGATCCCCACTTCACCTCCCCGCCCCAGAGGTGCATGTGGGAGGCAATCAATGTGTCTCTTTCACATTGATGTCTCTCTCTCTCTCTCTCTCTCTCTCTCTCTCTCTCTCTCTCTCTTTCCCTCTCTCCCTCTCTCCCCTCTCAGTGTCTCTATATATAACCCAGGTCTGTATATATAACCTCACTCCTCGAATGGAGAGAGAGAGAGAGAGAGAGAGAGAGAGAGAGAGAGAAATGACTGAAGAAATATTTGTTTCCCATCCTTACATCTTGGATTCAGTGGGATAAGAGGTTCTAATGCCCAAGGGAGAAATATATTCCCCCCAACCCCCAGGGAACATGTCAGAGTCTGATGTTTCAGGGGCTGACACTGCCTTTTGGCCATTTTGTGCTCCTCATGCTGTTGAAAGATCAGGCAGACAAGGGGTCATTGTACAGACCAGAGTGGTCTACCCTGATTACCAAAGGCAAATTAGGTTGGTACTACACAATGGAGGCAAGAGGACTATGTCTAGAACCCAGAGGCTTCACTAGGGTACCTCTTATTACTCCTGTGCTCAATGATACTGGTCCATGAAAACTGGTAACCTAATCAAGGTAAGATTATAAAAGGATGAAGGTTTAGGTCACTCCACTAGGTAATGTATCTTGTTTTACTGTGATGCTGACAGAAGGCAAGGGAAATATGGAGTGCATGGCAGGAAAAGGAAGCTATGATTATCAACTTAGAACATGCTTCCAGCTCCAGAAGCAGGTACTATATCAACTGTGTTTTATGTTTATAGCCTTCTTTTCCCCTTCTACTTTGTATGAAAAGCACAGGTGGTGGCTAATATTTTAGATTTCATGTGGGAGTGAGAATGAATTGACATCACCCTGTAATGATACTGCCTGATGGGACTTTGTACATTCTGTTTGAGGGCCTGGGTTTTTCATCTGGACAAAGGGCAAGAGTAGTGTAGAGGGGCAAAAGGAATGGTCAGTGCTGGAAATTCTGTTTTTCTTTTCAAGTTCTACTTTCCACCCTACTCTGTTTCCTGTTCCATAACAACTTCATTTGCCAGGCTCCCTTGCATTCTGGCTTCCAGTAGCCATCAGCCAATGGGAGGTATCAGCAGATCAGATGATGGAGGAAGAGAAAGGTCAGGGTATTTATTCCTCAGATTCCCTGCTGGGATGTGAACTAGCAATAATTTTACTATACAAGGTCACAGCTCCTGTTGAATGTTCCTTTCCTTATTATTTTGTTTTACTTTACTTTTCCTTATTTCCTTGGTTTTTGCTTAGCATCCCCTCCCCTTGCCCCTTCAGGCTCCAGCCATGTGCATTTGTTTACTCACAGTGATTGAATTTAAAATTACAGTAATACATATAGAAAAGTTTTCTGTGAAATTAAACTTTCTATACACACTTAATTTTAATTACACAAATGTGTTTACATAAGTAAAAACAGGTAAACTAATTTGTCAAATTTTTAACATACACATTCAGAAAACCTACTTTATTATATAATGAACTTTCAGATTTAACGGACACCCCCTCGCCCGAATTAGTCTGTAATATTGAGGTTTTACTGTACTTCCAGTACCTGAGGTGGTGCTTTACCACCCATCTGTTGATGTCTCTTAATCCTACCCACACCCTTATGCATGGTTCCTTCATTAAAATCTCTTTAATAATCTCCTTTGAGTATGTCATCTGTTTGCTGTCAAGAACCTAATCTATACAATTCCTAATATTTCTTTATATGTACCTTCTCTCTTCTTTTTATAATCAGTCTTGCCAGATGTTGGTCAGTTTTATTAGACCTTTCAACCAAACAATTTTTGTTTGTATTGATCTTTTCTATTGGATATTTCTTTTTCTTAATATTTCTCTCCCTCTCTCTCTCTCTCTCCCCCTCTCCCTTCCTCTATGAAATTAATAATAAAAAATATTAAAACAATAAAATAGAAAAGATATTAACACTCTGGCCAAGTAGTAGCTCAGTGGTTAGGATATCTTCCTGATATGCCAAGGTTAGATCCCTGGTCAAGGCACATACAAGAAGCAACCAGTCAATTCATAAATAAATGGAACAACAAATCGATGTTTTTCTCTTTCTCTCTCCCCCTTCCTCTCTGTCTCTAAAACCAATAAACAAACAAACAAAGAAGTAAAAAATAGCTCAAACAATGCCCTTTTTAGCACAAGAAAATGTTTGTTTTTTTTTTCCTGGCTGGGGATCAGTTGTCATGTCTGTAGTTTCCATTAATTTGGAAGAGTTCCTCAATTGGTCTTTGTCTTTTTAAAAAATATATTTTATTGATTTGAGAGAGGAAGGGAGAAGGAAAGAGAGATAGAAACATCAGTGACGAGAGAGAATCATTGATTGGCTGCCTCCTGCAAGGCCCCCTACCCTTGGGGGATCCAGCTGGCAATCCAGGCATGTACCCCGACAGGGAATCCAACTGTGACCTCTTGGATCATAGGACGATGCTCAACCACTGAGCCTGGTTGGTTGGACTTCAGTGAACTTGACGATTTTGAATAGTGCAAGCCAGAGATTTTGTAGACTGTTCCTCATGTTTCCCTCACAATTAAATTTAGGTTATGTGAATTTTGGGTATGATTAATACTATAAAATTGGTTAGTGTTTTTCTTAGCATCTTATCAGGAGGCTCATGTTGCCCATTTGTCTACTTTCTGGGGAAGCTTATTTTCATCCCCAGGTGAACCTGTGTCCTCCCCAGTTTCCCACTGTAAAATTACTATTTCACCCTTTGAAACAGTATGTGGGTGGTAGATACTTATTTTTTAATTAAAAAAATTGATTTGAGAGGAAGGAATAAAGAAAGAGAAACATTAACTTGTTGTTCCACATATTCATGCATTTATTGGTTGATTTTTACATCTGCTCTGACCCAGGATCAAATCCAGAACCTTGGGATATCCAGACGATTTTCGAACCCAGGGAGCTATCCAGCTGGTTAGGGTTTAGTGGGAGATACTTTGTTAGTGGCAATGTAAGCAAGTTGTTTTCTCATGGTACTTGCATTCCCTAGTTTTGCCTAAGGTGACAATGACACGGGAGACAGTAGTGTTGGTGGCACAGGGGCTTCAAGTGTTCCCAGGGCTGATTTCTCTTTTACTCGTTATATTGTATTCCCTGTAACAGCATGTTTGACACAGTAAATGGCTACACTTTCCCTGAGTAATTTCTTTACCTCAGCATGTAGCAAGGATTTGTAATTGGCCTGCTTATATGTTTCTCTTTCCCACAAATGGCAAACTTGTTAATCATGGGCATCATGGTTTATTGTTTTTCTATTCCCAGTGTCTAGCACATATTAGGTACTTTAGAGATACATGTTTGAATTAGTTGCCTGGTGTTGAGACTACGGAAGGAAGAAGATAAGGGCTAGGAATTGGCCTGGGGAAAGGGAAGCGAGGGCTAGGGTGGCGGAAGGCGCGGCCCGCGACGTCACTGCGAAGGGACCCACGGGTTTGGGCGACGTCGTTGGCCACGGGCCTCGGGCTTCCCCGGGACGGAGATGACTGACTGGGGCGGGAAAACGAATAGCTAACTCGCAGTTCCCGGCATTCTTAGTGGGCGGGGCTTCACTTTGACCCCTCGCTCGCATGCTACACATCCGGGCTCCTGCTAGTAGTGAGGGGAAGATGGCGGCCGCGACGGTGTTGGTTCCCGTAGAGTGGATAAAGAACTGGGAGAAAACAGGGAGAGGCGAATTGTGAGTGTTGGGACTGGAGGCGGGGATACGGCCGGGCCGGGCCCCCGTGTCACGGCGTTCTCCCCAGTTGGGGGAGGTTGGGGGCGGGGAAGAGGTGTGCCCCCTCCCCCATCCGGGCGGCGGGTGTGGACATTTGGCTAGGAGTTTAGAACTGAGGTAGTAGAGGTGCCGGTAACCACCGCCGACCTCCTTCCCTCCGTGGCCTCCCTTAAATCGCCTCACCCCTCAGTGGGCCGCCTTCCTTTAGTCTGTTAGCAGAACTCCCGTGTCGCCCCTTCGGGTCCCCGCGCTCCCGCTCTGTCGCTTTTTTGTCCCCTTCTTCGTTTGAGCTCCCTTGGTTCCTTTCTCTTCACGGGGCCGCGCCGGGGAGGTTCGGACTTTTCCCCTCTCTCTCACGTCCCATTTCTTTACTCTGCACCCGTTCGACTCCGCAGTTCGGAGCCTGGCACCTCCTCAGCTCGAAGTCTGAGGAGAGCGAACCACCCCGGACTCCCCTCCTCACCGGGGCGTTGCGGAGAGCCCCGCGTTTCACCTCACGGCCTCCCGCGAAGCGGTCTGTCAGACTGTCCCGGCCTCGCGCGGCGCCGCTGCCGAGGGAAGGGTGTAGCGGGGCTTGCCGCTTTCCCGGAAGACCTACCGGCATTTCTTTACTCCGTCTTTTCACCTTAGGGCCATTTCGTGTCGGACTCAACTTTCGTCATGAAATGTTGCCCAAACCCCATTTTGTCCTGGGACTGCAACTCATTTTGGCAAGTCTCCAAGGTTCTCGAATACCCAGAATAACGCGATTCCTTTAAGTCATAAAACTTTTCCCCCCCGAGTCATACATAGCAGTAATTTGTCATACCCGAGGTTTCCTGGCCCAAAATTTCAGCGCTTCCTCTAGAAAATAAAAATGGTTTAAGTAGCAAGACGAACCCCAGGTTAAAAAACAACAACACGCAAATAACTTATTTCTAGTTTCCTTCTTTGAATCGCTTTATTAGCTAAAGCTCGATCCTGTAAGAGTTAACTCGCAAGCCATTTTTACCGTCGTTGCCCACTCCCCCCTCCCTCTCCCCTCAGTGGTTCGTTTACCGTTGCTCGTGCAGCTTACGGTTGGAACTTCGTTACTTAGAATGAAACTAAACGCAGGGAACCCGTGCTCGTGTAACATCGTCTGCCTGTACCCCGCCCTCCTCGGCCCCCCCCCCCCCCCCCCCGCCCTCTCACTGTCTCACTGTTTTACTTAACTGTATGAGCTCTAGAATTCGATTGGCTGAGTAAGCGGCCGGCTTAGCCACTTAACTAGCAGAGTGACCTTGGATAAGTTCCTTAACCACTTTGACAGTTTCCCCTTGAGTAAATTGGGAAGAAGTACTCAAAGGAGTGTTGTGTAGACTAAATAATGCCTGTAAAGCACTTGGCTTATAATAAGTGCTCAAGTGATAGCTATTAAAAGTAATATTATTCCAATCTTTAGATATTTAAACTTACTGGATAGCTCTTGCACTTAAAGTCTGTACCACTTAGGTTAGCAATTAATTTGTCCCTGACTCATTTATGGGTACTCTTTAACGAATTGAGAGATCCTTGAAGAGTGGGGACTGTCTCATTTATTTTGGTTCAACTGTCCTGCCTCCCGCCTCCCCACACTTTCTAGCATATGCTTAGAGTGCTTATTAGCTTATTAACTGTAAGAGAAGTCAATTAGATATATATTCATTTCTTAACTGTTTGGAACATTTTCTAAATCCTTGTACTGCTAGTTAACACATAGCTATTTAGGTCCCTTGTGTGCAGGGAAGGCAGGATGGGAAGTTACCAGAACAAACCAAACCAAACCATCATCTTTATGTATATTAGATTAGGATAAATCAGTTATTAGGATAAATCAGTTCATTGTTGACTACTTTTTAAATTACTTTTTATTGAGTTTTAGAGAGAGGAAGGGAGAGGGGGAGAGACAGAAACATCAATGTGAGAACAATACATTGGCTGCCTCCTGTATGCCCTCACCCCCCACTGCTGATTGAGACCCCAATCTGGGCATGTGCCCTGACCAGGAACCAAACAGGCAACCTTTTGGTGTACTGGACGATGCCCAACCAACTGAGCCACACTGGCCAGGGCCACTGTTGTTTGCTTTTAAAAGCCAACTTACTTATTTAGGAGCTCTCATTTTTGTAGCTTGTTCAACTTCTTCCTTCCAGCTGTTTTTGACAGTTTTACTATTGTTACTTCCACCTTGGAATGAGTGGTTTTAGGGGTAGGAGGTGAAATTCTGCTTGGCTTCTGATTGGCAGCCTTTGGAGAAAAACAAAGTGATGTAGTAAAATTGGAGTTTTGGACTCACTTTATGTATATTTACACGATCCATGCTGTCATAGTTCCTGTGATTGAAGACCTGCTCAAAACTTACTTAACATCTATGTAGTTATTCCATGGCTTGTGGAATGTAATTTGAATTAGATACAAATCAGTGTAGTCAGTTTTATAATTGTATTATCTAAAGAGAGTTTAAAGTTGCTAGTTGTGTGACATAAGGAAATAATTTAGTCAAACACATCACCATGTAATACTTTTCTTTTATTTGAAACTTTGTTACACATAGTCTAACCTTGGATTTTTTGGATCTTGCAAAAGATAGATGTTAGCATTTTCATTTTATTAGAACAAATGGTATTGTAACTATATTATAAAACATCACTTCCTTTGTCTGAAAACAGACTCTTAAAAATAAACCAGGTACTGGAAATATTAAAAATGAAAGTAAGCTTTTTCCATGTTGATAGTGCTCTCAAAAACATAGTGAAAATTCCTGCAACATGCTGGACTTTCTGTAAGAAGTGCGGCAAGCATCAACGCAACAATGTAACACAGTACAAGAAGGGCAAGGATACTCTGTGTGTGCAGAGACTGCGGTGTTATGACAGGAAGTAGAATGGCTATGGTGGACAGACTAAGCAAAAAAGGCTAAAACTACAAAGAAGATTGTGCTGAGGCTTGAATGCATTGAGCCCAACTGCAGATCTAAGAGAATGCTGGCAATTAAGAGATGCAAGCATTTTGAACTGGGAGGAAATAAGAGAAGGGGCCAAGTGATCCAGTTCTAAGCTTCATATTTTGTTATGTGACAATAAAACCTTGAGGATATGTTCTCTTCAGAAAGAAAAAACAACAACCCAAAAAACCCAAAGGTAATGTGCCACCAAATTATTAGTGAATCGTTTATAGATTTGGCTTTCAGAATATGATCAATATTTAAAATTATATGTAGGGTGGATTTTTCCTTTTTAACAAGATGAATTAGCAGATTAGCTTTAGCTTAACTGAAAATTACCTTTTAAAAAAATGTTGATTTCATGAGGTTCATTTCTTGCTGTCACTTCTTACCAGTATAAGTCTATTCTGGGAGTTGTAGTCAACTTCAGCATCATAGGGGTAAAGTAACATATGTGATATATGGGGCATTTTATAACTTTAAGGGAGGGCAATTCTTAATTGGGCCTCATGAAAAGCAACTGTCTATTAAGAGGAAAAGTCTTGGCTTTGAAGAATAAGGTTTGTTAGGTAACTAAGTAGAAAAAAACCTGTATTTTGCTTATCTGAATTGTTCATCACATACCTAGCTAACCTTTCAGCGATACTGATTATGTTTTTCATGGTAAATTACAGAACTCTTAAAATGTTTTTTTTCAAGAGCTATCAAAAAGACAAAGGAGGACTACCAAAACGTAATTAAGTGTCCTTTCCACTAACACAGAATTACTCTTACAAGTTTCACATCTAAATGCAAACTCAAATACTGTGAAATATGCAGGATATGGCTTTAATCACTTTAATTTTGGAATTAGAGTTTTACTTTCTTGATAGTTTCGTATTAGCATAGGGTTTGCTATGATTAAGCTAATAAACTTGCCTGTATTGGTACATCCAATGGAGATTATGTTTTTAGTAAAAATTATTAGCATAGTGAGCTCAGCATTTGTTTGTGTAACAAGGAACCTTGATGTAGAGTTTATGTTACAAGCTCTTAATCTGAAGATGTTAGCCTCATGTCAATACGGAGTCTAATTTTGAAATACTTATATTTGTTGGATAGCATCTATTTGTTTGAAGGACTTAATTCTTTTAAAAATTTACATATCAATTACAATTTTTAGGTCTTATTAATTATTGGTAGTTATAATAATATTTTAAAATTTAATCGCCAGATGTTTTGGTTGCCATTTTTATTCTGCTGCTAAATGACTTTACATGTTTCAGAACTTATCTAAGTACATGTGGATGTTCATTAAGTGATGTCTGATCTGAATTTGTTGGAGGGAAATATGAAGAGAGACTTTATGGCAAATAATCATTCTAAGAAATTTTAGTCTTGGTAGTTGAATCTTTTTTTTGTTATTATTATTTTTTCCTTTTTCTTTAAAAGGTACTCTAAATTCAGCTGAAGCTTTATCTGAAACCTTCATGTCTTAGTTTTCATTTGGCATTTATTTTCTCATTTTGACTTGCATTCACAAGTTATTAGTCTTGGTCTTTTTTCTTGGTAGAGAAATGCATTCTTCAGAAATTGTAGCAATATCAGATTTTATAGGCTATGGCTTTATTAGAAAAATTAAATTATTCTACAATAAGGTAGAGTGAGAGCTATTAATGCACTTGTGTGCAGGAACTTGTCTTTTTTTTTAATATTTCCTGAACTCTTTTCTCCTCAATGCATGTTTTCATTTTCATAAATGCATATATTTCAAGATAAAACTACATGTCTCAATATTCATTTTTGTGGTTATGTCTCTCTTCTAACAGTGATAATAGAGGTAGCACTTTGCTTAACCAAATTTATTCTATTTTTGGTTTGTTTTGTTTTTAAGAATTAAAGTGCAGCTTGACATTAGTTTTTTATGTGTGATACCAACTTATATTTATTTTTAAAAATATATTTTATTGCCGAAACCGGTTTGGCTCAGTGGATAGAGCGTCGGCCTGTGGACTGAAAGGTCCCAGGTTCCATTCCGGTCAAGGGCATGTACCTGGGTTGCGGGCATATCCCCAGTAGGATATGTGCAGGTGGCAGCTGATCGATGTTTTTCTCTCATCGATGTTTCTAACTCTCTATCTCTCTCCCTTCCTCTCTGTAAAAAATCAATAAAATATTTTATTGATTTTTTAATTTTATTGATTTTTTACAGAGAGGAAGGGAGAGAGATAGAGAGTTAGAAACATCGATGAGAGAGAAACATCGATCAGCTGCCTCCTGCACACTCCCCACTGGGGATGTGCCTGCAACCAAGGTACATGCCCTTGACCGGAATCGAACCTGGGACCCTTCAGTCTGCAGGCTGATGCTCTATCCACTGAACCAAACCGGTGAAACCAACTTTTAGATGTTGATTATAATCAAAGTAGTAGTCCAGCTTATGCGGTGTTTCCATTTTTACTGCAAAATGGGAACAACTAAGATGGAAAACTAAATATTCATGTTAAGAAGTACTCACAAAAATACTTAAGTCCATGATAGAATATGACATTTTATTCTTTTTTTCCCCCCACAGATCATAACAGAAAGTAGATTCTGTCTTTGTTCTCAGGGACCTAAGACATCATCTCCACAATAGTACCAAACTGTATTAAAAGTGGAAAAAGTGGTAAACTCGGTTACTTGGAGGTTATTAAGGGACTGAAATAATTATTTGAATTTGGACTGAGGCAGAATATTCTGTTATTTTTAAAGTCACATTAAAATGGGCAACTGTTAGAGGTAGTTTGTTTCTCCCCTAATCATTTAGGACAGAGTACTAAAGTGTTTCAACAGGTGTAGTAAGACATGTAGCATACAGAAACGTAATTGTTTCTTTAAGGATACTTTGTGATCTTTTGTTAGTGGATTACTTAGAGAGAAGAGCACATACAAATCTACTGATTGGAGGAAATTTCTTAGTGATTGTTTTTAGTTTTCTCCTACAACAAAGGAAGAACTGTTTTGTACTAGGGAAATAAAAGTACAGTGTCTGTTATGCAAGTTAATTGCCCCTTAATGATTCCTTACATAATTTGAGCAAATATTTCAGATGATAATTAATAACTTATGCTGACATTATTATCTGTATCCTAATGAATGTTTGTGGTCTTGTGACTGATAAGATGGCATATTTCAATTCTTAAAATTATGTATCAGTGACTATATCATTAGATTACGTGGGATTTGGACATTTCCAATCCCTCCCCACTGGGAGGATTATCACAAAAGACATATGCATTAAGCTTAACAAACAGAAAATGAAGCTACTAAAAATGTGAATAAGCACAAATATTCGCCAAAAGACTAGTTGGCCTTGCTTTTTATTATGGGCACAAAGTGAAAGTTGAGTTACTTGATTTCATTACATTCTTCTGTCAAAGACAGTTTTCCTGGTACTACATTCTAAAGCAGTGGTTCTCAACCTTGGCTGCACATTAGAATCACCTGGGAATCTTTTTAAAATCCTGATTTCTGGGCCTCATCCTCCAGAAACTCTGTTTCTTTGTTATGGGGTGAGGCCACAACATTAGTAACAAAGAAACAGAATTTCCGGAGGATGAGGCCCAGAAATCAGGATTTTAAAAAAGGTTCCCAGGTGATTCTAATGTGCAGCCAAGGTTGAGAACCACTGTTTTAAAGAGAATTGAAGCCATGGGGACAGTGAGAACTATAAGGGGAAATTGTTTTAATACTTTATAGGAAATATTAAAGCAGTCTTGATATGCTTTTTTTTTTAAAGGAAACCAGTTGAGTTTGTTTATTTATTTATGTTAATCCTCACCCGAGGATATTTTTCCATTGATTTTTTAGGGAGAGTGGAAGAGAGAGGGAAAGACAGAGAGAAACATCCATGTGAAAAAAATACATTGATTGGTTGCCTCCTGTATGGGCCGGGGCTGGGGAGGATCCTTCAACCAAGGTATGTGCCCTTGACTGGAATCGAACCTGGGACCCTTTGGTCTGCAGGCTGACACTCTGTCCACTGAGCCAAACTGGCTAGGCTTGATGTACTTCCTTATATAATTACTCTTAAAAAGAGCTAGGTTGCAGACATTTTTAGGTTATATTCTCTGATACTAGTCTGAAGTGGATGCTATTTTTGTATTACCTACTGGAAGGAAGATTGGTTTTGCTTTCCTATTCCAGGTAAGCTTGTGGCAGGTTTAATATATTTTGAGAAACTAGAAGCTTAACCACTATTCTCAACACATTGGAAAGCCCATCTTTGTTCTCCAGGGAAGTAGTTAAATACTTGGGGTCAAACTTAAATCAGTTTACCATTTTTTAAAGTTCATTTAATTTTAAAAATAGTTTTTATTAATTAAATTTTTTAATTTGTTTGGCCAATCTTGTTTCATCTATATACCACCCATTTCCCCATTCTGTTGAGATAAATATAATTTCATCTGTAAATATTTCAGCATCTATCTCTTAAAGATAGAGTTTTACTCATATATTCAAGTTGACTCATAAATGTTAGGTTATTAAAATTTGTTTGAGAGAGAGAGAGAGAGAGAGAGAGAGAGAGAGAGAGAGAGAGAGAGAAAGGGCAGAAGAGAGAGAGAGGGAGAGAGAAACCTTGATTTGTTGTCTCACTTATTTATGCATTCATTGGTTGATTCTTGTCTGTTTCCTGAATGGGAATTGAACCCAAAACCTTGGTGTATTAGGACGATGTTCTAACCAACTGGGCTAACTGGCCAGGGTCTATAAATATTAATTTTTAAAATACTTGTTTCAGACAGGATTCAAATAAGGATCCATACATTGTGATTGATATGTCTCTAAAGCCTTTTTTACTCTGAGGATCCCCCACCATCCTTTATTTTTCCTAGCAATATATTTGTTGAAGAGATTGGGTCATTGTTCTATAGCAGTGATGGTGAACCTATGACACGCGTGTCAGAGGTGACACGCGAACTCATTTTTTTGGTTGATATTTCTTTGTTAAATGGCATTTAAATGTATAAAATAAATATCAAAAATATAAATCTTTGTTTTACTATGGTTGCAAATATCAAAAAATTTCTATATGTGACACGGCACCAGAGTTAAGTTAGGGTTTTTCAAAATGCTGACACGCCGAGCTCAAAAGGTTCGCCATCACTGTCCTATAGACTTTTCCACAGTCTGAATTTAGGTCGTGCCTTTTTTTTTTTTTTAAAGTCAACATCATAGATGGGTGGTAATATTCCTTTATCAGGATCAGGAAGCACATAATGTCTGTTGTCTCTTTTTGTAATGTGAACAGCCATTCATAGATGCCTAGGTCTTTTAATTTATTAGGAGTCTTAAAATGGTAATGTAATTCTATCATTCCATCATTATTTATTAGCTGAAATACTTAAGTACAGAGACATTTCTTATCAACCGTTGGTTCATATATGAAGGCAGAATAAGTGATTGATTTTTTTAGTTAATTTTACCAGTTTTAAAAATAATGAATTGATTGACTAGCATCCTCTAGTTTTGACCAATTATGGCTTTTAGGTTTGTTTTATTCTCATTCTAAACTAATGGATGTTGACATTGAATACATTTTCAAATATTTTTAGTTGATATAATTTACTCTGTAAGGATCATCTTTGTTAAGATTTGAAATTAATGCAGACTACTTTTGCTTTATTCTAGTTTGCATTTGTGTCGGATTCTCAGTGAAAATAAAAGCCATGATAGTTCGACTTACAGAGGTAAGAATTTTAAAAGTATCATTGCTATTTTTTTTGGCTTGGTCAATTTTTATAAATATCCTGTTTTCATCAAATTGTTATGAATGCAAACAAAAGGTATAAGATAGTTCACATTATGTAAAGCTTTTATGTGAATATATTACAATTCAGATTTAAAACTATAGTTATAGTAAGACTATACATCTTTGTATAAGGATGCTATTTAACTTGCATAATAGTCATGATATAGCTTGGATTTTATAATACAGTTGCTAGCTATATGAAAAATTGCATAGACTAGTTATTAGTCATAAACAGAAGAGAAAAGCTAGTATGGAAAGTAAAATGATTGTGATCTTATTTACACTAGGAAATTTCCAGAAACAGGTTCAGTGTTTTTACTAAAGCTGGTTATGTTTAGGTGGTATCCGGGATCTTGTTGAAGGTAGTTGTCATGGAAAACATTAAAAGCAAAGGTGTTGTGTACTGCATACCACAAATATGGCTTATTAACTAAAATGTTATGTAATTAAAGAGGATATAAATTTCCAGTTATTTTAATTTTGAATGATGTTACTATTTAACATTCATTAATTTAAAATTGGGCATATGGATTTAGAAAAGGAGGGGCAAAAACAAAAGCAATTATGTTTAGTAAGTTTAAAGTATTTTCTTATGTAGCTTTCATTGAGATGGAAACCATAACATTTTTTTCAATTTGGGAAAAATAATTCACAGCCAATAATTCTATTTTAACCCCCAGATTTTTAGATAAAATTCATTGTAGTTATTTAAATTATGCCATTGTGAGTAGAAAATTAAGAACAGAATGATTTTCTGTAGATAAGTTTGCTTTTGTTTTTATCAAAAATTATATATTTGTTTTTAAAAAATACATTTTTATTGATTTCAGAGAGGAAGGGAGAGGGAGAGAGAGATGGAAACATCAATGATGAGAGAGAATCATTTATTGGCTTCCTTCTGCACTCCCTACACTGGGGATCGAGCCCACAACCTGGGCATGTGCCCCAACTGGGAATCGAACCATGACATCCTGGTTCATAGGTTGATGGTCAACCACTGAGCCCCGTGGTCGGGTGAGATTATATACGTTTTAAAGAAAATTTGTTTTTTTTTTTGTTGTTTTTTTTTTTTTGAGGGGAAAGCATTTTTTAACAAATGAATGAGCTAGTTTTCTGTCATTTGGGTAAGATCTGTTTTAAAACTTAACATTCCTAGCCTTGAGTCCCCAAACTTATTTTTCAGTTCATCCTGTTTATAAAATTGTATGACCATTCATAAAGATTTCTTTTTTTTTTTTTTTTAATTTCTGGGTGTCTCCATAATGCTTTAATGATTTGTGTAATACTCTGAAAAAGCCGGAAATAGTCCATCCCAGCCTCCTGAGGTCAGATCGTCTTTCCTTGATGGGACTCATGCAGGGACACCTGCCTTTAGATGGATCAGAGCTGCTTTAACCTCTAGTCCAAGGGCGGGGGAAGGGGGCTGCCAGTAGACAATGGGGTCGAGAGAGGAAGGAAGGGAAGATGAAGGTGCAAGAAACTTTTGTCAAAGTCGACACAAGGTTGCTTACTAGGAGGCAGACGAATGCAACTCTGTATTCACTGCTAGAAACCAGAGCTTTGGGTAAAATCTTGAATTTATGGGGAGGAGAGGGAAGCATGGGCTTATCTGTCCTTTTCCAGACCCCTGTGGTTGGGGACCTGCAGAGTGAGCTGCAGTGCATTTTGCTGGACTGGTGCTCACTCCTCACCTGCTGTCCCTGTGTACCACACGCTGACCCTTTCCCCGGGTCAGCAACAAGCGACCTGCAGTACCCACGGGGACGCATGCAGAAGGCTAGTTAACAGCAGAGCCCCTGCTCTCTGGGCAAGGTGATGTCCACTTCCTCTCTGCCTACCGCAGCGTGGTCTCCATCTCGGTCAGTGAGTTCACAGAACACTCCCAGAAGGAGGCGCTCGCTTTTCTGGATGCAATCATTCTCTAAAACAGGCCTGTCCTGTGGCTGGTGTGGCTCAGTGAATAGAGCGTCAACCCGTGGACTGAAGGGTCCCAGGTTTGATTCCCGTCAAAGGGCACATGCCCAGCTGCAGGCTCGATCCCCGTCCCCGGTTGGGGTATGTGCAGGAAGCAACCAAAGGACGTCTCTCTCACATCGATGTTTCTCTCTGTCTCTTCCACTCTCTCTAAAAATCAATGGAAAAATATCCTCAGGCGAGGATTAACAGAAAAAAAAGAAAAAGTAAAACACAAGTCTTACACCTGGATAGCAGCCACTGAGGGTGCGTCTGAAACTGGGGGAACCCGGATCTGTGTGGGGAAAGGCGGAGTCCGGGTGTACTGGCAGGTCCCGGAGAAGGGCCAGGGAAGACTGGGGCAGTGGCACCGGCTCCTAGAGCAGGGTTCTGGCGGGAAGCAGTGCTGGCCCCAGGCACTGAGCTCCGTCTAGAGACGTGTCTGATCCTTCGCGGGAAGCAGTGCTGGCCCCAGGCACTGAGCTCCGTCTAGAGACGTGTCTGATCCTTCCGAGGTGTGCTCCTGCCTGTGCAGATGACAGGGGTGCCCTAGCTTGGGAGTTCAGAGGTGCTGCTCCTTAACAGTCACAAGGCTTTTAAGTTGGGAAGTTTTATTCCCCCCGCCCTCCCCGCCCCAGCACCTGGCTCCTTCCCCCCATGAAGGCCACATCCTGAGTCACCTCGTTCTACTCCTCACCACCTTAAAAGTTGTGCCTGAGAAACTTCCTTCTGCTGTGGCCGCTGGAGGGCAAGCACTCTGGCGGGGTCCTCTGCGGGCCTCTCCCTCCTCCCTGCATCATTTTGTAGATTTTGCTCTGGATGTGGAGCTAAGGGTGTTTGGTTTTGACACATTCAAGCTTGATTGCAAGTTCTTCTCCCGCCACAATGTCCGTACCGAGATAGAGAGATAGATGTCTCCGAAAGAGCCGCTGCCGATCTTCCGCTGCCCATCTTCCGCTGCCCATCTTCTGGCCCAGCCAGTACCTGTTCCCTACTCTGAGCTTCATGGCGGCGGCGGCGGCGGCGGCAGGCCAGACTCCCTCCTGCCCTCCCGGCCGCTTCCTGGGTCTGAGCTCTGGGAGGCGGCGCCCGCCGCTGCCGCTACTGCGGGTGGGCTGCCGGCTCCGCCCCCCTCACGGCCTGCTTTCACCGTCGCTTTCCAGTCGCCCAGCCGCTCCCAGAGCCACAATAGGGGGCGGATGGGACAGTCCAAGCGCCGCCCCTGCTGTGGCTCCTGCCGAACACGCTTGCCCTCTCCCCACCACGGATGGACGCGGATCTTCCGGGCCTAAATTCCCCTTCAGCTGCCTGAAGGAGCTGCCGCCATCGCGCTGTGCCATAAAGATTTCTTTAAAAAATTTTTTTTCATAAAGATTTCTGAGGTTGATATAATGCCTTGTTTTTTGAATAAATCAATTGACTGCCAGAAGTGTAAGAAAGTAAAAAAAAGACTCCTTTCTAAAAGCACTTAGATACTAAATTTTATTTTCTTCTCCTGTTTAAAACAAAATTTTAACTTCGGTTAACTTCATCGTGTTTGCGATTGAAACCCTAAGTGGGTAAGAGAAAGAATTTTTATAAAAAGTATAAATAGCATAACACAGGCTGATTACTCTTTTAGTTTTATTTATTTATTTATTTATTTATTCATTTATTCATTTATTTACACATCACTCCTTTATTATACTGATCTGAAAAAGACTTGGTAGTTATGCTCAAAATGCTTACTGGGCCCATGTGGCAGGGCCAAGCAACTGGAACATGATTCAGAATTCACACAGTAAAAGACACACCTGGACATGATCAAGAGACATTTCACTGCCATGAGACTATAATACCAATGCCGGGGAGGGATTCTAAAACACAGCAGGATAACTCCTACAAGTCAAGGAGCTCATCCCACCTTGGTGTGAGGAATGGCTTATTTTATGAGGACCACATGTGGGAATAGTTCAACCGCCAGTAAAAACCCCAGAAGGGTTTTTGTTTTGTATTTTATGTAGATGTTTTTTTATTTTATTTTATTTTTTTATATTTTATTGATTTTTTTACAGAGAGGAAGGGAGAGGGGTAGAGAGTTAGAAACATCGATGAGAGAGAAACATCGATCAGCTGCCTCCTGCACACTCCCCACTGGGGATGTGCCTGCAACTAAGGTACATGCCCTTGACCGGAATCGAACCTGGGACCCTTGAGTCCGCAGGCCGACGCTCTATCCACTGAGCCAAACTGGCTAAGGCTGTTTTTTTTTTTTGTAAAGTAAATGCAACACGTAAACATTCAGGGTCGATCCCAATCTTCTGGAGCCAGCTTTTCTGGGGTCAAGGAGGAAATGTTTGAATCACCAGGCATTCATCTTCCACTGGAATGACTAGAGCCCCCAGTCAGTTCACCTGACTGCAGAATAGCACAGGACTGCTCTCAGGAACACAAACAGGCTCTCTTGCCTCTCATTGGTCACGCCTTACATGGCTCCTCCTTACTCCCCTACTTTCAAGCAGGTCCTTAGTAATAAACAAAACACTAGCAAAAAAACAAGAGTTATTACCTCTGGACTCTCTTAGATAAGAGTCTCCCTTGGCTTAGACTGAGGACCCATACCCCAGAAGGGCCATTCTGACTAGATTGCATGAAGGGAGTGGGTGCAGGAGACAAAATGGCTAACACAAAATTGGGAGCCACCAGTCCCCATCTGCAGCTACAACCTAAGATGCCTACAGATGTGGTCAGTGTGACATGTGCACAGAAGAGATGCAGAGGAATGGGATGGGAGAGAGGATGTCCTTGGGAAGGTCGTCTGCCTGCTCGCCTTCACTTCTTGGCCTTGCCCTGGGCAGCCACAGCCTCCATGGCTTTGCGCATGGTCTCTTCATCCCTCAGGAACTGCATGGGCTTGATGGGCTTCAAGTTCTTGTCTAATTCATAGACAATGGGAATACCAGTCAGCAGGTTCAGCTCCATGATAGCCTCTTCAGAAAGACCTTC